GAGAATTCCACTGCTGCAGGCAACCTTGGACATTCTTCGCAGTGGGTTGGCTGAAGAGTCCCGATCTATACCTTGTGGATAATAGCCACTGATGGACCTCTGCTCCATATGCCTATCTAATTCCCTCTTGAAGCCGTCCATGCTTGTAGCCGCCGCCACCTCCTGTGGCAGTGAATTCCAAGTGTTAATCACTCTTTGGGTGAAGAAGGACTTCCTTTTATCCGCTTTAACCCGACCGTTCAGCTATTTCATGGAATGCCCACAAGTTCTTGTATTGTGTCAATCCTAGACAGGCCCGTAGCCAGGATCTTTTAATTCGGGGAACCTCTAAATAAGTCAGGGGGCACCTCGGACACACACCCTCAAACACCCCCCAAGTGACCCGCCTACTGGGGGGGGGAGCCAGCAGTGTGAGCTCCGGAGACACACGCAGGGCCCTCTCCAGCCCCAACAGTGGGAGCCACTGCCCCCTCTTCCCCCCCCATGCTAACACAGCCAGCCCATCGCCCCCCCAGGCAGTGCTCACCCACACCCCAGCCCTGCACCCTCCGCCTACCGCTGCCGTTGGATTCCCCCCGGCCGCTAGAGCCGGGCTCCCCACTTGCTCCGTCCATCGCCATCGTCCCACTGGCACAGTGAGCCCGGACACTGAGTGCAACAGCGCAGAGGGGAGGCGAGCCCAGTTGACAAGAGACAGCGGCCGCGGCTGGCAGCGTGCCCAGCTGACAAGAGAGAGTCGCTGCGGCCGGCGACGAGCACCATAATTAAAATTTTAAAGCTGGAAGTTGGGGGGCCTGGGCTGGATAGGAAGTTGGGGGGGCAGGCCCCGAGAGGCCCCGCTGTAGCGCCGGGCCCATCCCTAGATTTCCTACATCTCAACGACATAAGAGGAGCGGCAGAAGCTGCCGGAAGGATCACCTCTGGATCTGCAGGGAAACAGCTGCCCCGTCACAGAAGGGCGCTCGGCACAAATCCTGCCACCATTTTAACAATTGCCCCACCCACTGCAGCCGTTCTGTGGGTGGTCATGTCTCCCACAGCAACCATTTCGGGGTGGTGCCCACCAATGCTCCCTCTAAGCTGCGGAGTCCCGTGAGCAAAAAATTCTACTTTGTGAGCTACTGGCATTAAAGCTGTGAGCGAGTGATATGGCTACTGCATCAGTTGGTTTGCTCTGGAGCCATCCTTCTTGAGCGAACACAAACATGGTTGAGCCGGAGGCTAAAAAAAAGTTGAGCTAGCTCACACTAACTCAGCTTAGGAGGGAACACTGGTGCCCACCACCTTTTCTCAAAACGTCCACCAGTTCAACAAGGTTGAAGACCTCCGGTCTAGTACATCTTCACTCCACCTTTCCTTTGAGGGTCTCATGGCAGCAAACGAGATTCTCTCAACCCCGTCCCTCTGAAATTCATTTCAGCATTTGCTTAATTTATACCCTGCCTTTCTCCAGAGTGGCTTACAACATTCTCCCCTTCTCTATTGCATCCTCACAACAACCCTGTGAGGTTGAGAATTAGGTGATGGGTTCAAGGTCACCAAGCAAGCTTCAGTGGCGGGGTGGATGGGTTTCAAACTTGGGTCTCCCAGATCCTAGTCAGAGACTCTAGGTCCCTGTTGTATTAATAGGAAGTAAGGTTTCTCACACGATCACAGCAAAAGCCAATGAAAAACATCGTAACATACTTTGCACGTCAAAGTCACTAAAGAAAGAGAACATCACGAGCCAAAAAATTAAGTGTTTGGCACTGAAAACCCAGGCTCAACCTCTCATTCAGCTGCCACCTTGAAGAAGTGTTCCTTCTTCAAGGTGGCACCTTTCAGCCTAGAACATGACAAGGCTCATAAGTGATACAGGAATCATCGCTTTCGGATGATCAATGGTCTCAGATTTGGAGAACGCAACACAGTATGTCAAAATCCTCTGAAATTTTGGAGACTACCTATAAAGTGCTCTCGCGTTGGTACTTAACCCCTGTCAAGCTCTTCCATATATCGAGCACTACTTCTATTTATAACACCACAGACCAAAATGAATGTGAAATACTTAGTCCTGTTGGGAAATGGTATCCCATCATCGAAAAACTCACTTTTGATGATTTTGACTGGAAAACTATTTACAATGCGAAGTATAAGTTGTTGCTATTGGGTTAATGTTTCTATGACCTTTATGGCTTTGTTCCGTGGAACCTCTCTTTGATTGTATATTTGATTGCATTGGTAGGATAAGTGGATTTCTGTAACTTTTGCTGTTTGTTGTTATACTTTATGGTTGAATACGAATAAAATGTTCTGGTTAAAAAAAAAAAATAAAGTACCCTGTCTACCAAGAACTACTACAAAAATAACCTTTCTCTGCATACCCTTCTCTTGCTGTGCTTTCGTCTAAGATATACAGCTTGGCTCACTTGCTCAAGTCATCTGTAGCTCTCTGGTCTCTCAGGGGCATGAGCATAGATGCTGACATTCACTTACTTCCTGACAGCAGTGCTCGGTTTTCTGGATAGCATGAGTCGAAGGAAGGAATGGATGGTCCTGACTCTAGGACAAGGGAGACACGAAAAGGGTTTGGGGTCCGACTCCTCTTAAAGCAGTTTCGGCACTGGGGCAAATCAACAGCAGTCCGAGATCTAGAGTAACCTGATCCCAAAAGCCGGATAAGAGTCTTTTTTAAAAAATGATAATAAAACCTTCTCCAGTGACCTGAGATCCAAGAAGAAGTCCGATCATTTTAACACACACAGAGGAGAGCAGGAGAAAGAAAAATTAACATTAACAACCGACTGCAGCCAAATCCTCCCTGCCCTCAGCTAAGATGTTAATGCCGCTCGCTCTGCAGAGACCAGGCACCGGTGCCAACTTCCCAGAGTGCCAAAAGCTGGCAGAAGGGACTCAGGGTGGTAAGGAAAGGTGCCACCTGAGGTCAAATCCATGTATTTTGTGGCCCCAAATGAACACATGCACTCCCCCACCCCCACCCCATTCACTCTCCCCACCACCACCACCATGAGAGATTGGCAGAGGCTTGGCACGCAAACGAGGACAGGCATTTGGGCACGACGGCTGCTAAGCCACCAGCTTCTACCGGTCAAGAAGCAAAGCCCGGAACTTCGGCTTACATACGCAGGGGATGAGAGGGAGAAGATCCTGCCCGGCCCCCATCACGCCCCCACCCACCCCCCACTGGCCGGCCCCTGCACCAAACCCCTGGAGGGGCTAATCCGGCTCCCAGCTGCTCGGAAGCCAACCCTGCAGGGAGGGCTGCCCTGAACCCGTGCCAACCTCCCAGCACCGTCGGCGGGAGCCATTTGCCTACCGGTGCATTCTTAGTCCTGCACAGACGCAGCGTTGTGTGACGGGGAGGGGAATCTCCCCCCCATTACATCATCAGGAATGGCAAGGAAGCAGGTGATAGCATCAAGTCTTGGGGGGCAGGAGGAGAGCCAATGAACTCCCTTCCCCCATAGGTGGGGGGGGGAGAAAAGAGAAGAGAAGCTGGAATTCCTGAGCAGAGATGGCAAGAATCCCCTACGGAGGCTGACTGCGGGTTCCTCTGCCTGCTCAGCCCCTTTCCCCCTAAACTGAGGTGCCCCAGGACACAAGAGACCCATGTTGTACCCTCTGCCCACCCCCTAACCCCACTCCCCTTGACAAAGAGAAGGCAGAGATAGAGAGAAGATGGGACTCTTCTCTCTCTCTCAAAAAAAAATAATCCCCATGTTAAAGAAGCGGTTGCCTGGGGTTCACTCTACACCCACCAGAGAATCACGCCCAGCTCTCAGGCGATGCTCCCTCTAAGCCCCGGAGTCTCGTGAGCAAAAATTCTGCATTGTGAGCTACTGGCATTCAAGTTGTGAGCCAGCGATTTGGCTGCTGCATAAATTAGTTTGCACGAGGGGCCCTCCTTCCTGAGCTGAGACCAAAATGCGTGAGCCAGAGGCTAAAAAAACTGCGAGCCAGCTCACACTAACTCAGCTTAGAGGGAACACTGCTCTCAGGTGGATGGAGCCACTTACGTGCGCAGGGGGTTAAATAAAGGATTGGCAGGGGAAAGGCCAACCGATTCCCCCCACCCACCCACCCACCCACCCAAGAGATGAGGCCCATCTGTCACGGTCGGTGGCACGAATGGCAGGGGCAACCTCGCCAGGCAAAGGCCGGGCACAAAAGTAAGGGGCACAGGGCCAAGATGGCACACATGGAAGGTCCCCAGCCACACCTATGCCGGTCAGAGGGATATTTCCAGCCCACCCAAACAGGGAAAGGGCCCCGTCAAAGGGGCAGCCATGTGGCCACGGGAGAATCGCCTAGACGGAAAGGTCAACGCCAGGGAAGCGCGGGGGGGAGGCAAGAAGAAAGGCCGAGCGGGGAGGGGGAACCTCCAGGGCCGGGCACAGCCGCGAAACCCTCCGGAATTATAACGACACAAGCTGGGTTTTAGAGTTCGATCCCCAGGATCTTCGCCACCACAGCCCACCACTCCCCCCTTCTCCGTCGCGAAGCATGCCGCCGAGCTCTGAGCCACGCGCAGGGCGGGAGGATCCTTGGAAAGAAGGGAAAGCGAAGGAGCTCCAAAGAGATCACGCACGGATGAAGACGCTGCCGGAGATCAGCCAGAGCGCTGCCCCCCCCCCCCCCCCGCGCGTACGATTTTTTTTAGGGAGAAAGGAGGAGGAGATCTGGATTTGGGGGGGGGGAGAGAGGGGAGGGAGACGAGGAGGGCAGAAGCTGGGCGTGAATTCCCGGTGGGGAAGAGGCGGTCTATTGTAAGCAGGAGAGCTCAGCAGGGGAAAGAAGGCAAGCCCCGACCTAACTGGGAAGAGTCGGTGCCGGGGGGTGGGAGGGTGAAGGGCAAAGCGGGGCTCCTGCAAGGATCACAGCGGGCGATCCGGTGCAAAAGGCGGCGATCCCCGGGGAGGCAGGCTCCAGGCCGGGGTCAAAGGTCACAGTGGATCCCGTCCGCCCCCCCCCCGGCGAAACGAGGGAGCGTCTCTTCTTACCTTGGCAGCGGCTTCGGCTATGGCGAGTCCCAGTAATCCTCGGCCATGGCCGCCCGCACGGGCCGCCTCTGGACGCGGCTCCCCTCAGCCGCCCATGGTCACCCTCCCGCTCCCCCAAGCCCGGGATGCGTTCGGCTCCGCCCTCCCAGCTGCGCAGAACCGCCCCCCCCCCCGACCTGGCCGCCTCCCACCCTGCGACTGGCCAAAGCCAACCTCCTGGCAGGGCTTCACTCTCCCCTCCCCTCCCGGGTGTACCATTCTCCTCAGGGCGAGGGGGGGGGCAAAAGCCCGAGCTTTCGAGCGCGAGTCTTTTTTCTAAGGGCGCCATTAGACACTGAAGAACAACACGGAGGATAGTGAGTACAGGGAGGACCCTTCGCTGCTTCTCGCAAAGACGTAGCTTTATTAATCGGTGAGGGGACCATAGAGGGCCTCCCTCTTTCGTTTCACTTGGTAGCGCCCCGGCGTTGCCATGTTCTGAAATGGGGGGGAGAGTAGTCCTTCGATGAGAACGTGAACTCCTTTCCCCCATTTAACCCGAAGTTGACTGTGTACGGGACTTTAGAAACAGGGGTAACTGGAAACGTTCAGTGAGCAATATAAAAGTAGACTACTGTCCTCCCCCAGTGCTGTAATAGCACATTCCACGCCGTCGCTCCGCCCCCCCCCCCCAACTAATCGTCCTTCTTAACTAACCACCAGGCGCACGCACATGCCATGCCTGGATTAGGCGATACCATTTTGATTTGTCAGGGTGGGGGTGCGTGTCAGGGGTTTTGTCTCGTCAGCCGAACGTTAGACAATGCGGCAAAAACCTCCGTCAACGTGGCACTTTGCCTCTTTTACAAGCCTCAAAAATAGCTTTTAGGGAGAGTGCGAACATCTCGGTCGCCGCTCTCTTCGGATATCCCAAATAGGCTCGCCCGAGCACCTTTATCGGGAGAAGAATGGAGGGCGATACCATTAATAAAAAAGAGAAGTTTTGGATGTAAATAAAAGTGAACGTACTCGTTTTAAAAATAGTGCTGAGCCCAAGAAAATATACTCTACTCTTTAAAAATAATTGATTTGTGGAGAATAACTGACGAGGAAAAGGTTCGCATTTTGTCTCCTCTATTGGCCTTGTAATGGTTTGATCCACCTCACTGAGCCAAGGGCTGTGGGAGGATACCACAGAGCAAAAGGGGAAATGTTTTTGTTTTTTTTAAAGAGATCAGCATTCGAGATTTTTTTTTTTTACAGGCTAGGATCTTTTGTCAATTACCGTCAGTAAATAAAAAGTGGAAGTTTTGAAGTATGAGAACAAAGCGTGTGTGTTCCCCCTCTGTAATAGTTGACAATGGTTGGGCTCTCATATACGCCGAACTTTGGCCCCGACCATATCTCAAAAATAGGGGGAGACTTAGATCCCCACCCCCGTCAGTAATACTTGAGTACCTGACTCAGGTAGATTTTCCCTGTTCATTTTCCTCTTCTGTCAGCAGATTGGAGCCACATGCTGTTCCTGTAGTTTTTTTAAAAAATCGGGAGTTTTACGAAATGAAACTTTTTCTCTTTGCATTTTTTAGTTTTCAAGGCCCGCTTTGTAATCTATTTAAAAATATTGTTTCCAGGATACTTTTAAAAATAATTGAAACAGAATCCCAAATGTATCCATTTACTAGGGGTGCCATATTTTGACAAGCAAAAAAGAGGGCATATTTCCCAACTAACTAATTCAAGGAACTGATTACGATGACAATTCTCATTTTCAATACCCCTACTCTTTAAGCTGTGATCATTGCAACTAACTAGGAACATTCGTAACCTTCCTTGTTTTTGTTGTAGTTCAGTTGCACAGTCGAGTCTGAGTCGGTGACCCCATGGACCATATCATGCCAGGCCCTCCTGTCCTCCGCCATCCTCCGGAGTCTGCTCAACTTCATGTTCATTGCATCGATAACACTGTCTAACCTTGTTTTTAAATAACAATTTAAATTTATTTGTTTAGGCTAAATAATAGAGGATGGACACCAAAAAAGAAGACATGTCCTCTAAAAAGAGAACATCTGGTAACCCTACATTTACTCTTTCACCTGGTTCAGGTGGGTAGCCGTGCTGGTCTGAAGCAGTAGAACAAAGTTTGGATGCAGCGGCACCTTGAAAACCAACAAAGTTTTATTCAAAGTATGAACTTTCATGTGCAAGCACACTTCCACACAAAAGCTTGTACCTTGAATAAAACTTCATTGGCCTTAAAGGTGCCACTGGACTCAAACTTTGTTCTTTGACATGGGTTACTGATGTGTAGCCTTGAAGCTAGCTCTCCCAAATCGGCTGCCAAGTCTCATATTGCTGCACGGTCAACCATTATTAGACATGCAAACCCGTGGTTTATTTGCATAGCGCTTTTAGGTTTGCAAAGTGCTTCACCTACATCAGCACACTAATACTTACAACAGCCTTGTAAGGCAGGAAGACCAGCAACTGAGGAAGAGAGAAAGTGACTGCCCTAATGTGACCTGCGGAGCAGTCAGAAGTGGGTCTACTTGTGACACCCTCTGGAAAGAGCCAGCGATATTGTACCTTGTTTTTCCTCGGGAGTGTTGTCAGTTTGATATATTCTTTTCTTTTTTCTCTTACCCTCCATGGGATTTCTTTCAAAACTTTTATTTCATTCCCATCCATCATCATTGGTGTTGCGTTTACTTCTTTCAAGATTTTGTCTCTAATAATCCTTTTGCCAAACCGGATTTGGACTTCCCTTGGAACTTTCATTCGTCTCACGTATGCTGAATTCCTCCTGAATACTTGATCAAATTCCTTTAGCATCTCTTCATCTTCCATCTGCATATAATCTGCTAAAAATCTTAGCCATTTTTCCGACGATATCTTCATCTTTTTCTTCAGGAATATTCTGGAATCTCAATACATACGCTGCTTTATCGACTTGAAGTTCAGTCAGCTCTTGTTCATATTCTTCTTGCTTCAAGTCAAGTCTCCTTGTTTCATCTTCAATCCTTTTTGTCTTAAAGTCCATCTTTTCTGTTTTCTTCTTCAATTCCACAATTTGTTTTGTATTTTCTGAAACTAGGGTTTGTATTGCTTGTAGACTGCTCATGAATTTTTCTGTTATTTGTTCCATATTTGTTTCCACTTTCTTCATTGAAATCTTGATGGGATCTACAGCTTCTGCGACAGAAAGTTGGACCAATGACTGCATCTCCTTTTGAGCTGGGGCTAATTTAGATATTGTAACTCCTCCCACCCCTGGTGATGATTGAGGTGATGATTGAGGTGTTTTTAGTTGCGTAGTTTTAACATTAGGTTGGGTTGCCATCTTGGCTCGCTTCTGAGCGTAATGTAATGTATTCAGTGAGTCTCACTTCCAGGACAGTGTTCTTAGGATTGCAGCCTTAACTATTACTATGTCACCTATTTATGGTGGCTCCCTATGCAACAGTTAGAGACAATGCTCTCTTTAAGCTGAGGAGTCTTGTGAACAAAAATTCTACTTTGTGAGCTAGTGGCATTAAAGTTGTGAGCGAGCGATTTGGCTACTGCCAGGGGTCGTATCGTAGGAAAAGAGCTAGGAGAACTCATTAGCATAACTCATTAGCATATGCCACACCCCCTGAGAGAGGCGGGGAGGAAGCAACTTACCCTCCCTCTTCTCCTGCCTCCTCCTGGCTGAATGAGGGCCGGAAGCGGGACGGCCGGAAGCAGGGGGCGGGGCTTCATCGTGTGCCCCGCCCCAACACCTCACTCGGGGGAACTGCGATCCCCCGCGATCCCCCCCGAATCGACCTCTGGCTACTGCATAAATTAGTTTGCTCTGCAGCCATCCTTCCTGAGTGAAGACAAAAATGTGTGAGCCAGAGACTAAAAAACGGTGAGCTAGCTCACACTAACTCAGCTTAGAGGGAACACTGGTTAGAGGTGCCATTTAGGAATCCCTTGTTTAAACAATGGCAACCCTGTGATGTTATGGAGAAGTTAATTTTTGGTTTAGTTAAATTTGTACTGATACCGTTCCATTGTTAGGCTAAGCAGGTCCAATCCTGTAAACTGCCTTCCTGCTTAGCAGACTTCCCAGAAACATAAAGTTTGAGTCCAGTGGCACTTTAAGACCAACAAAATTTTATTCAAAGCTTTCATGTGCAAGCACACTTCTTCAGATATGTGCCTTGCACATGGAAGCTTATACCTTGAATAAAATTTTGTTGATCTTAAAGGTGCCACTGGACTCAGACTTCGTTCTGCTGCTTCATACCAACACGGCTACCCACCTGAATCTGTCTTCCTAGAAATATGTAAGTCATTTTGCAGAAGATAATGAGTAAAGAGACCGAATTGGGGAAATGAACTGTTTTGGTTTTAGCTTTTGAACTAATACTGCCTGTGCCAGATGGTTGCTACTCCTCTCTCATTCTTCCCCCACTGATGTCAGTATAAATAATTCTTCCCCCCCCCCCAAAGATATCATTGTAAAGTCCCCCTGCTCTCTTCTCCATGAGATCTTCATGGCTTTGGAGTGAGGGAGGAAAAGCTTAATAAATTCTAAGGCTCCGGCCCCTGTGCGTTATAGCGCTCAACCTAGAACGTTCAGAAAAAGACGTTTGAGGAAGTTGAAAGGGCAAAAAGGGGCAGGTGAGGGGGTGCGGTGCTGTTTGAAATGGCCAGATGATAGATGGCTCATTAATGGAATGAAATTCGCTGTATGAAACCTCCATCCCTGTATTGGTTTGCTCAGAAACAGGCCAACAACGGTAATGCGAAAGGGGCCCCTGTTATGCTTTTCTAAGCCCATGGACTTCAGCAGACTTCGAACAGTCTACCTCTACGTAGGACTGCATTAATAAATGCTTGCAATATTATCATGCTATTGACATAAACTGCACTTGTCCAGAAAACTCCGGAGTCAACCTCCTCCCAGATACATTATGATTTACTTATTCGGATTTGTGGACCTGACAAAGCATTGAGGGAGACAGATTGTTTACCTGGGAAATCTGTAGTCGCATGGCAATTGTTGGAAGCAGCAGCAGCGGCACTGCATGACGTAAAATAAAGAAAGAAAAGAAGAAGCAGCAAATTTGTGGACTGCAATTGGACTAGAATCATTTTTGCACAGTGAACATGGGTGGGGTGCAACCTCGAGGTGGTGGCTGGAGATCTCCAGGAATTACAACTGACCTCCAAATCTCAGAGATCAGTTCCCCTGGAGAAAATGGATTCTTTGGAGGGTGGACGCCGTGGTGTTCCACCCCACTGAAGTCCCCGTCCTCCCCAGGGTCTGTCCCCAAATCTCCAGGAATTTCTCATCCCCTGGAGCTGGCAACCCTGTAAAACAGCCATTGACAAAGGATGCTTTTTTGTGTGTGCCGCCAGTCAGTTCTAAGCCCGAGCAAAGTGACCTAATTCAGCCTGGATTCCAACACAGCCCTGAATACTCAGAGCAAGGATATGGGAACAGATGGAGAAGGGAATGGTTGAGCGTGTCTGTTTTCCTGGGAACGAGCTCTCGAGAAGGAATCCCGTGCCAAGATTCTCAGCTGTAAATAGTGCAGCGCTAGTCTGGTATAAAAAAAGGCTTCCTGTGGCACCGTGACTCCACACCGTGGCTAACACATGTTGATCCCATCAAAGGTTCTCACGTTGGAGGTCAGGCCGGGGCACCGTCATCCCCAAAGGCAGAAAGCTTCTAGCCAGGCATTTGGGAATCTGATAGGCCTGGGGGCTGCCGTCCTTCCTACCTTCCAGCCTCACGCAACACAGGTTTCTGGAAAGGTGTCTGTGTGTATACAGTGCCATCAAGTTGCGGCCGACTTATGGTGACCCCGGCAAGGGGCTTCCAAGGCAAGTGAGAAGCACAGTTGGTTTGCCATCGCTTTCCTCTGCAGAGTCTGCCTCAGAGATCTCCAGGTAGTCAGCCGTGTTGGTCTGAAGCAGTAGAACAAATTTAGAGTCCAGTGGCACCTGAGAGTTTGGTGTAGTGATTAAGTGCATGGACTCTAATTTGGGAGGACCAGGGTTGATTCCTCCACGTCCAGCTGCTGGATGACCTTGGGCAAGCCATAGTTCTTTCAGGGCTGTTCTCTCAAGCACAGTTCTGGAAAGAGCTCTCTCAGCCCCACCTACCTCACAGGGTTGTGGGGAGGGGGAGGGAAAAGAAGTTTGTAAACCGCTCTGAGACTCCAAGAGAAGGGCAGGGTATAAATTCAGTCTCCTCCTCCTCCTGCTCTTTAAGACCAACAAAGGTTTATTCAAGGTATGAGCTTTCGTGTGCAAGGCACACTTTTTCAAATACATTGGAATGGTAGATGAGGTTCTAAATTTAGGGATTTAACAGCAAATTAACATGCAACATGATGGTGTTTAAGTTATGCAAAGAGAAAAACTACATAAGTTAAGGCTATAAGGTCAGAGATGGTCGCCAGTCATCCGGACACCAGGAACAACGCCGAGACCCGCCAGGTGAGAAGAGAACACGCCACATGGGTGCTGTTAGGTAATCCCTTCCCCGAAAAATTGTGGCCCTAGTTAGGCAATTAACTACATAAGTAGTGCACTGTAAACTGCTCTGAGACCCGTTAGGGGTCATGGACGGTATAGAAATCAAAATGTAAAGTAAAGTAAAAAACAGTTGTAGAGCAATAAATATGTCAAAATAGCAGATGAATATCTAAAGGTGTTTTTTCTAACTCTTTCTAACTTTTTCTAACTGTTACTGAGAAGTAACAGAATCTTAATTATCTCCTCTCAGGTGTAGAGGCCATGTGGAGGGAACGTAACAGTATATTTTGAGCTGGATGTAATGTCAGTATTCTAATATGCTATTCTGGAAAAGAAATACACTAAAATACAGAGGATTTATAGTCCTTTTTGTTGAGAATACATATGTGAGGACTGAATGAGTTAGCATATGTAATGGGATAAAAATCCAATATCCCTATTGAGTCCTGGGGAGCTTTTTGTTCCAAGTGTTGTAATAACTTGTAATTCAGCAGTTTCCCTCTCCATTCTGTTCCTGAAGTTCCTTTGTAATAAAACAGCTACTTTGAGGTCATCCATTGAATGTCACGGAAGGTTAAAGTGTTCTCCTACAGGTTTCTCAGTCTTGTGATTCCTGATGTCAGATTTGTGTCTATTTATCCTCCGGCGCAGGGTTTGTCCTGTTTGTCCTATATAGAAAACCAAAGCTGACATTTAATGGCATATACAATGTTAGAAGATGTGCACGTTAGCTTCCAAGATCTGATGAGATTGGGGTGCCAGGTTCCTCCCTAGCCACCAGCAGGGGATGAGGGGTGAAGGGTTGCCAGATCCAGGCTGGAAAATTCCTGGAGACTTGGGGATGGAGCCTGGGGAGGACAGGGACCTTAGCGGAGTACAGTACCACAGAGTCCACCCTCCAAAGCATCCAAGTTCTCCAGGGGAACTGGTCTCTGTAGTCTGGAGAGAAGCTGTAAGTCTGGGGGATCCCCAGTGTAATGTATTCAATAAGCCGCCATTGAATGCATAATGTGTGATGAAAACATCTAATTGAAATGTCGTGTAAAGCTTCGTCCTGGGCTAGGATCCAAATCCATCCAATCGCATTGATAGCCCAGGAAGAACCAACCAATCACTTGTCAGCAAGCTCCCTGAGCGGGAACGTCCGTGATTGGTCCTTATGCATACAACCTTATTGGTTGGTAATTGTACAGTAGGCGTGGCTACATTAGCTGGGAGAGTTTAAAAGCAGGACAGCTGCAATGTAAGAGCTGTTCTGGCTATCAGATGTTGATCCGTGTTGGAGTTGTGTTTGAGTTGCTGAATAAAGCTGAATCTTTGCTGAATCACTCTCTGACTACTTTGTTAAGTCAGCGACTTAACAGTCAGGTCCCACCTGGAGGTTGGCATGCCTAGGCTATGCCGTGCCGCCTTCCCTCCCCAGAAAGGTGCCTCATCTCCTGCAAAGTCTTTTAAGTACCATGAATCACCCCAAACCACAATCCCCGATCTGCATCTTGAACAAGAAGATATTAGTCAGAATGTGTGTAAACTAAACATAAACAAATCTCCCATTGTCTTCTATCTGAGCATCAGGAAAATTCTGCCAGAATGCTAGTTGAACAGGAAATACTTAGCACATTGTTATTGGGCTGGCATCAGATACGAGGCAGGCTATTTTCCATCCGAGGTGTAACACTGACCAACCAGGTACATCTTGCACAGTTACCAGTTCTTCCAGTTTGGTGTAGCGGTTAAGAGTTCAGACTGTAATCTGGGAGACCTGGGTTTGATTCTCCACTCCTTCATGTCACGTGCAGCTGCTGGTGTGACCTTGGTTCAGTCACAAGTTTTCTCAGAGCTGTTCTTGAACGAGCAGTTCTGGAAAGAGCTCTCTCAGCCCCACCTTCCTCACAGGGTGTTTTCTGGGGGGAGGAGAAGGGAAAGGAGATTGTAAGCCACTCTGAGACTCCTTCGGGTAGTCAAGGGTGGGGTATAAATCCAACCTCCTCCTCCTCCTCCTTTCTTCTTCTTCCTCTCATAGGTGTGTGGGCAAGAATTATTCACAAGATAAATATGTAAGCAGAGGGGAAGGGCCGTGGCTTGATGATAAAGTATCTGCTTGGCATGCAGAAGGTCCCAGGTTCAATCCCTGGCATCTCCAGTCAAAAGGATCAGGTGGGACCTTGAAGAGCAGCTGCCAGTCTGAGTAGACAAGACTGTGATAGACCAATGGTTTGCTCAGTATAACGCAGCTTCATGTGTACTCGTGCACAAGAAACTCAGTCCTACAGTCCAGGGGTCAAGTCGGCTCTCCGGTGGGGGGGGGGGGGGGGGGCAGCTGCCAGACTTCTTCTGTGCAAAAGCTAGAATTTGGGGCTGGTTGTCAGAATGTTTTGAATACAACAATCAGCCCACATCCATGTGCCTCCTTAGCATGCACGCTTACACTATGGAGCTCACCCATGCGCAATAAGGAAGCGGGTGGGTGAACGCTGGCACGGCAACCCATTTCACCTGCTGTTGCAGGAGAGCTGGCAAGCAGCATGCCCGTGTTTCCTCCCTAGCTGCTTCCTGATAGCTTCTGTTGAGGAGCCGTGGCTCAGCGGCAGTGCATCTGCTCAGTACCCAGAAGATCCCAGGTTCAATCCCTGGGGTCTCCAATAAAAAAGATCCAGTAGTTAGCTAGTAGGAGGAGAGACCTCTCTGCCTGAAGCCCTAGAGAGCCACTGCCAGTCAGATTAGACAGGACTAGTGAGGTAGATCAGTCAGTTGACTCAGTAGACAACTCCTTCACGCGTGATGGTAGTGGACGCGGTTAGAGTGATGGACTAGGATCCGGGCAACCCAGGTTCGATTCTGGTCAGCCATGGGAGCTTGCTGGGCAATATTGGGCCAGTCACACGCTCTCAGCCTCCATGCTTGAGAGGAGAGACATGGAGCGTAACAACAGGGACTCAGTTAATTACTCTCTGAATTCCACAATTAAGGCTACATCTGCCCTTCAATCTCCAGTTTTGACATACTTATTTCCTTCACTAAGTGTTTTCCCCAGAATTAAACCCAACAAGCTGACCACACGGTCGGGACATGATATACTTGTTGTTGTTGTTCAGTCGCACAGTCGAGTCCGACTCTTCGCGACCCCATGGACCAGCTCACGCCAGGCTCTCCTGTCTTCCGCTGTCCTCTGAAGTTGGCTCAATTTCGTGTTCGTTGCAGCTATGACACTGTCTAACCATCTCATCCTTTGCCGTCCCCGTCTTCTTTGACCTTCAATCTTTCCCAGCATCAGGGTCTTCTCCAATGAGTGCTCCCTTCTCATTTTGTGGCCAAAGTATTTGAGCTTCAGTTTCATTATCTGGCCTTCCTTTTAGGATTGACTGATTTGATCTTGCAGTCCAAGGGACTCTCAAGAGTCTTCTCTAGCACCATAGTTCAAAAGAATCTATTCTTCGGCGCTCGGCCTTCCTTATAGTCCAACTCTCGCAGCCATATACCTTATACCTTGAATAAAGCTTATACCTTGAATAAAACTTTGTTCGTCCTAAAGGTGCCATTGGATTCGAACTTTGTTCTACCTCATACAGTTTTTGTGAGGGACAAGGAAGACAGGATAATGATGTACACCATTTTGGGCACCATTGCAGAGAAAGACAGGGTATAAACAAAGTTAAATAAACAAACACATGTTTGTAGAACATCTTGCCGCTATTACAATCAGGGGTCATTTCCTGCGGGAGCGCACAGGAGCGGAGCTCCGGCAGTAAGGAGCCCAGGGGGCGGGCACATGCAACAAGCCGCACCCCCTGCTCCCAGCAGCCCTCAGTCGGGCCACGAGACGCAAGAAGCAGCCAGGTAAGTTGCAGAGGCCCCCCCATCCCGCCTTCAGGTACAAGCTCTCCCTCCTCTGCAAGGACAGATCTTCATGTCCCCCCCCAATACCTAGCAATCCAAAACAGTCCAGTGGAGCCTGAGCGGTGGGTGTTGCCTTCTGACACACTTCCGGCGATGTCAGGGGGTGTCTCATATGCAAATGAGTTATGCTAATGAGTTATGTTGATGAGCTCCTGCACCTCTTTTTCTACGAAATGACCCCTGACCATCTGTGATGTTCCTGTCAGGACTTGCGCCACCACGTTCTGGATCGGCTGAAGCTTCCCGAGTCAGTCTCAAGCGCACACCAGCATAGAGTGAGTTACAGTAATCTAGCCCGGAGGTGACCATTGCATGGATTACCGTGGCTAGGTAACTGATCTCTGCTGTCCAGAGGAGCTGATCTCTGTTGCCTGTTGTACAAATCCTTTATGTCTCTTTCCCCCAAATTCTCCTCATAAGATATACATATTTTAATTTGTGCATCCGTAACTGGGCATTGGAAGACATGGAACGGTGTGGTATAGCCCGATCGCATCAGAAATCGGAAGCTAAGCAGGGTCGGTACTTGGATGGGAGACCGCCAAGGAAGACTCTGCAGAGGAAGGC